TAAAAGGCTTGCTACCGAAACAAAATACAACCAAAGATTATCAATCATTGTTTTGCAAACTAGCTCTCAAGCTTGGAAATTGATTAATTTTAAAACTTATGTTTATACTAAATATGTTAAAAAATAAAACAAAATAAAAAAATAAAATAAATAAAATAAAATACAAATAAAAATAAAATAAAATAAAATAAAATAAAAATAAAATAAATAACTTATATCGATATCTATTTTAGTGTTGTAGAATCTCACTAAATTTGGCATGCCTAAGTTATTTTTTAAATTTATAAACGGTTAATTAAACCGGATTCCTACGAGCTAGGCATTGTACTATACTTTAAAATTGTACATATGACGTACAAATATGATTGTTAGCTTGTTTAATGACTTTTTTTTATATTACGTACTGTTTTTGTATAATATTTTGTAAGTGATATTCTTACGCATAATTATTGATGGAATGTTAACAAATAGACCTGGCTAATATCAATTCGACAAAGTTTCAAGAAACATTGTAAATAGAAACATACTGTAATATGGTCACTATGAAATTCAACCATTCCAGAAATTATTTGTTTATTATTTCATATGATCAAGTGAGTAATTTACATCTATATGTCATGTTTGATTTTGCTAGCTAGCTGCAATATAATTGATTTTATATCCAAATTTGCACGTTTTTCAATATTTTTTTGTAAATGTTTTTAGTACTGATGTACTAAAAACGTTGTCCGTTAGAGTTTAGAATTCACGATTTAGATCTTTTTTATTTTTATATCGAAGGATCAGTCTTGTCTCTGCATTCTCGTAATTTAGTTCTTTCTGCGTTGAAAATTTCAGGAAGGAATAAAAAAATATCCATGCTTCGTGCCTTGCGCTAAACCAAAGTTACGCTTCTAAAATTAGATTTCGAATTGAATTTATGCAGGCGGCACCAGCACGGCATAAATGTGAAAACCAGCAATTCAATACTAAAAATAGATTATGAATTCCATAATAATTTAATTTTCACTTGGCAACATATATCGATATTGAAATCTTACGTGCTTATGTAATCTTCGCGTAACCTTGACTTTCGGGATCTTGCGCTCCCATGAAATTTTAATGAAACTTTAACTCAATAAGATATACTCATTAGAACAAGCAACGGGTCATATACTATTAACTAATTAGATTTATCATTTATTTCAAAAGTACAAAGTATTCTCATCTAATTGTCTATTGCCAATTCTGTTAATTCTTTTAAATATATAAGTTATTCTTTGCCCATTATTTTATATATATATTAGTATCCGTATCTTTGCAAATAACGTTCAGGAATGTAATTTCGGATTTTGACTTAAATTAAGCTTAATTCAGGCCATTATTCGAAATAACACTAGTGTTATTTCACGAAAAATGCGGGTAATTGTGGTTATTGTTCACTAATCAATAGCCATGTGTTATTTTACTCTTAAGTCGTTTAAAATTATACAGATTTAAAGCTTTTAAAATACTATTTTATGCTTTAACCACTCACACAGGTATTTGAGAACCATCAAGATTTAAACTATGCTACATAAATTGCAATCAAGAAATAAATATGAATAAATGAGTTATGGTTTTAATTTAAGAAGCTTTAGTTTCAGCAAATCCAATTCTTAAGTTATCAAAATCAAATACACTATAAACATTCGATAAAAAGGCAACACCAACCACCCATCCACTAGACTGAGTTTGCTGAATCGCTGATAAGCACATTGCATTATTATTTACTGGAATAATTGAACTATTTGTTATAATTAATTCAGTAGGACTAATTTGATATGATACGTTGTTGAATACTAAAGAGACAACATTTTGTGTATCACATGGGATCCACCATG